GGCGGCCCGGCCGCGGACCCCGGTGCGGCAGCGGGACCTGCCAGCGGGCCGGGGCCGGGGCACAGCCCGCGGGGACCGCAGCCACCAGCTTTGTTGCCGGCGGTGGCGGGGACGGGGGTGGCGGGGCTCAGCCAGGCACACAGCATGGCCACCCGGGACTGAGCTGGGGAACCCTGCCGGTGTCGCACGGGACGGGGACGGGAGGGGCGATGCCGTGTGCCCAGTGCTCTCCAGTGGCCCGGCCAGCAGGAGCCCCGGGCAGCTGGGCCAGACTGTGGCTACCAGGATCCCCGGGCATGCTGGGCAGGAGCACCGGGAGCCAGTGTGGCTGGCAGTGACCCCCGCCCCCAGTCTGTTTGCAGGCTCCCAGGACCCCCTGGCACCGACGATGCCCCCAGCTCTGGCTCCCCACTGCTGCTGCAGCCCCCCAGTCCCCAGCCCTGGCCAGGGCAGGCTCCAGGCCCGCCGGCAGCTGAGTGTTGCCTGCACCATCTGCTGCGTCTTCATGGTCGGGGAGGTGATAGGTAACGGCGGGATGGGGATGGGGATGGGGACAGGGGGCTGCCGGGGCAGGGGGTGCCAGCTGCTCTGCAACTGCAGGCGGGTACCTGGCGCACAGCCTGGCCATCATGACGGATGCAGCCCACCTGCTGACGGACGTGGGCAGCATGTCCGTCAGCCTCTTCTCCCTCTGGGTCTCCACCCGCCCGCCCACCAAGACCATGAGCTATGGCTGGCACCGCTCAGGTGAGCTTGGGGTGGGGCTCGGCTCCACGGGAGCCCCCCAGCCAGGGTGGGCACTGACAGCTGCTGTCTCACAGAGACGCTGGGTGCGCTGGCCTCTGTCCTCTCCATCTGGGTTGTGACCGGGGCCCTTGTCTACCTGGCGGCCGCCCGCATTGTCAGCAACGACTACGAGATTGAGGCACGAGCCATGCTGGCTACATCCGCCAGTGCCGTTGGCGTCAACCTGGTGTATGTCCCACACAGGGCTATGCACACCTGCAGCCCCCCACACAGCCCCAGCCTGAGCCCTGGCCTCCTCTCCCACACCCCTGCCCCATGTGTGCCCCTGGTACCCCAAGACCCCCAGCCCTGGCCCCAGGTCACCTGTCCCTGTGCACCAGCCTCATGTCCCCAAGCACTTCCTCCCCCCCCCATTCCCTGTCCCCCATACGTTCCCAGCTTCCAGCCCGTGTACGTACAACCTCTGAGGCCACATCCCCTGGCCACCCCCTAGGCAGCACCCCCTCAGCCCTGCCCCCATGCCCAGCCTGAGCCCTGGCACGTGCCTCAGGCCTGAATCCCTGCCCTGGCCCCATGTGCCTCCCTGCAGTGCTGCAGCTGCCCTGTCCCTGCTCTGCTTCCAGCCCTGCCCCATGGTGGGACTCTGCCCTACACCTCTCTACCCTCCTGGGGCCTGGGTGTGCCTGCCTGTGCCCCCTTTGCCTGCACTGCCTGGCACCGCTGCCAGTGTGCAGTTCCAGGCAGGGCCAGCGAGACCCCTGCACCCTGCCCAGCACAGTGCTGAGCCACCCCTGCTCTCCCCAGCATGGCCTACATCCTGCATCAGTCCCCTGCTGGCCACGGCCACAGCCACGGTGCAGGGGGCTACGAGCAGCTGGAGAGCACTGGGGGCTGCCCACCTGGCCATGCCGCCCTGCCTGGCAGCACCAGTGTCCGTGCGGCCTTCGTCCACGTGGTGGGTGACCTGCTGCAGAGCATTGGCGTCCTCGTGGCTGCCACCATCATCTACTTCAAGGTGCCTAGGCTGGACTCCCCTCTGCTGCCCATGGGAACAACTCCCTCAGCTCTGTGCAGGGTGCCGTGGGGCAATGGGGCCCTGGCATCCCCACACCCGGATGCCCAGCTTGGCTCTGCCCCCCCAGCCTCACACAGATCCTGCTCTCTGCAGCCCCAGTGCAAGATCGCAGACCCCATCAGCACCCTCTTCTTCTCGGTCTTCGTCCTCGGCTCCACCTTCACCATCCTCAGGGATGTCTTCAGAGTCCTCATGGAAGGTGAGTGATGGGTGAGGAAGGCACAGGACCACGGGTGCGGGGGGCTGGCGGGGCAGCACAGGAGCTCCTTGGGGCTGCAGCTGCCACAGCCCCTTCCCCATGTGGCAGCTCACCCCCTCGCGACCCCTGCTCCCCACCCAGGCACAACCCATCCCACCCCTATGTCCTTCCATTGCCCCCCTGAGCCCCCCAGCCCATCCTCTCTGCTCCAGGCAAACAGCCCCATGGTGAGAGGCTGCCTCATCCCGGCGCCCCCATCCCCAGCCTGGGGAAGCCCCCACACCTGGCTGCTCCCACCACAAGCCCTGACCTTGACAGGGGCCAGGGCTGGGGCTGGCCCCTCCGTGACCAGGCATTGCTGGCAGGGACACCGCGGGGCCTCGAGTTCGACACGGTGAAGGAGGTGCTGCTGGGGGTGAGCGGGGTGAAGGGCGCCCATGACCTGCACCTCTGGGCCCTGACGCTGAGCCACCATGCCGTGTCGGTGCACGTGGCTGTCGGTAAGTGTTCCCACACGCAGCCCAGCCAGCTCACGCAGCCCCCAGGGCACGTACACAGGGACTGAGCCACGCTGCGCTGCCATCCCCAGAGGCCAGCGCCGACCCCGAGACAGTGCTGCGGGAAGCCAGCACCCAGCTGCAGAGCAAGTTCGGCTTTGCCTCATGCACGGTGCAGGTGGAGCGGTACCAGGAGGAGATGGCAGCCTGCCAGCACTGCCAGGATCCCCATGCCTGAGACCCTCATCCGCTGTGGAGCTGGGTCAGGCCTGGCCCTGGCCCCCCCACCTTGCAGGCGAGCGGGAGCTGCCCCTGGAGCAGGGGGTGTGGTGCAGGAGCAGGGGCAGGGGCAGTCCTTGGGCTCCTGTGCCTGTGCTGCACCCACCCCGCTGCTGCAGAGCCCTGGGGTGGGACAGTGCCCCTGAGCATGCAGGGTCCCGGGTAGGGGGGGACACACAGACACACACACACACAGCCTGGCCCCTGCATGGGACTGCCCCATGAGCCTCCACCCCCAGGTGACTGGGTCTGCCACAGCCCCAGGCCTGCTGGGAGCAGCCCCAGAGGAGGGGGGATCCTGCCCCACACACGTCCCCCCACGGAGCCCTGTTGTCCCCTGCAGGAGAGGGGACAGGAGGGAGCCACTGCAGCTGCTCAAGGGCCCAGGGAAGGGAGGGGAGGAGCCCAGACCCAGCCTTGGCCCCAGACACTCCCGTTCCCCCATGGCCACGGGGGCTGCCCCACAGCCCCCGTGGCCATGGGCTTGCTGCTGCCCGGGCTGCAGGGGGGCCCGTGGGAGCTGCTGCTGCTGCACCCACCCGGGAGCAGGGAGACAGAGCAGCCAGAGCCCAGAGCTCAGCCCTGAGCGCCGGCTTCCCTGGCTTTGCTCCCTGCCGCCTGGCCCGGGCCCGGGCCAGATCCTGCCGTGCTTTGGCCTGATCCATTCCCACCCTCGTGAGACCATGTCTGTTGCACCCATGGAGTGTGTGTCTGTCCACGTCTTTGTGCAAGGAGCCCAGCGGGCAGTGGCAGAGCCCGCAGCCGCCAATAAACTTGTTGGAGAGCAGCAGCAGCGGTGCAGGCAGCCAGGAGGGGAATGGGGAGGGGGGACGGCCCCGTCCCCCTGCGAGGGGCAGAGTGTGGCCAGAGCTGGGCCCCAGGGCAGCACCGAGATGGCCACCCCAGGCACCAGCGCCTGTGGACCCGCACCAGCACCACAACCAGCCTTTACAAAACAAACCACATTTACTGCACAGCTGAACACAGGCTCAATGTGAGCAACTCCAGAGCTCCTGGCACCCCTGCCAGCCCCATCTGCCCTGCCCAGGACAAGGCTGACCCCCCCAGCGCCCTTGCCTGCACCTGCATGGGGAGGGGGCAGCCAGCAACGCGGGGCGGGAGGCAAGAGCAAGCACAGCCCCACACAGGTGGGGGCCTACAGGTGCTTCCCCAGCGTCAGGCCCCAAGACCCACAGCTCAACCCAGGGACACGCACCGGTCCCACTGCCCCCCACCCCCGCACCAGCTCAGACCAAACAGCGCAAAAAGATCCTTCTGGGCCCGGAGCAGGATCCCAGGTGAACAGCCAGGAGCAGCCGTCCCGCCCCCGAGGTAGGGGCCCAGAGGGTAAGAAGCACCTTGAGGGGGCACACAGCCCCGCTGGACAGCACAGCCTGCCCCCAGCCCAAGCTGCTGCCCGGAGTGAGCATGTCTGGCAGCAGCACAAGGGATCCACCACGCTACTCTGCTGGCAGCAGGGATTGCTCAGCGGGGCTGGGGCTGCCGGGCTTGTCCCCATAAAGGTTGCTGAAGCGGGCACGACACTCCGGCAGCAGCTGGTGGCCCACGCCAGAGGCCAGTCCCACCAGGCAGTGTGCCCGAACGATGCCTGCCTGCCCACCCGACACCAGCCAGCCGTGCGAGTCCAGGTTGGGGCTGAAGCGCACCTGTGGGAGGACAAGGGGGTCAGGAGGGGAGGGGGCCAAGGCATTGGGACCCCAGCACCCAGGAAGCAGCGTGGGTAGCGGGGCAGAGGCAGACCCTGCCTGCAGCAGCCGTGGCCTCCTGCCTGCACCCTCCTGGGCTGTGTGCGGGGCTGCGGGCTCAGCACAGCCCTCTCACCTTGTGCAGGGACTCCAGCTGCAGGCGGTCGAGGCTCAGCTCTGCCTTCACCTCCTGCGTGTGCATCCTGCGCATGGGCTCCCGGCTGGGGAAGTTCTTAAAGCTGCGCTGTGAAGCGGTGGCACTGCGGTGGGCTGCGTGCCCGGGGCAGGAACGCTGCATTCACAGCAGCCCTGACGGCACCAGGATCACAGCAGGGGCAGGTGCTGCTTGGCCAGGGGACACAGGTCGCCCGCAGGCTCACCCGCCAAAGAGCCATGGCAAAGGGCAGCAGGAGCCAAACCCCAGGGAGGGCCTGGGTAGGGCAGCCAGAGCACAGCAGACCCCAACCCACCTCCCTGGTGCCTCCCCAGCAGCTCTGACCCACAGACTCGCTCCCTCTCTCTAGAGGAGAAGCATGGCACTGGTGCCCCACGCCAACACCTCCAAACACAGCCCGGCACACCAGGCAGCAGGGGCCCAGGCAGGCTGTGACCCCCCAGGCTGCTTCCCAGGGCTGGGCACTCCAGACTGCTGCCACAGCCAGGACACCGAGCACACTGCTCTGCCCAGGGCTGACACCCACAGCCATGCCCCCCACCACCCTGCGCCCAGGGAACCAGGGGCTCCCTGCCTGGGGGACCCCAGCCCAGGCTGGCAAGGCAGCCAGGCCCAGGCTTCACGGAGGCCGGGCAGCCCATCCCTGTGCTCTCAGGACAGCCAGCCTGGACTCCACTGGAGGTGAGGGGCTGCCACGCTGGAGCAGCATCTCCTTGTCCTGCAGCTCCCACTGCCCAGCCACAACACCAGAGGCCCCAGCCCCGCTCCCATGGGTCCCACTCACAGGCAGGACCACCCAGCCCCAGGCTTGCCCCCCGTCCTCTCCTACCAGGTCTGTGTCCCGGAATCGGATGTAGCTCTTGGTCACCATCTCGCTGTAGAGCCTGGTCTTCGGCAGCACCTGCTCACCGCCCTCTGACCCGGCAGGGCTGCAGGGCAGCAGGTCGGCTTTGTAGACCGGCTGTGGGCAAGATGAGGCTCAGGGCAGTGCAGGGGGTCCATCTGCTCCTCTGCAGACAGGGACCACCAGGGACTGAGTGGGACTGGGGGCAGGGGAGAGGAAGGAGGTGCTACCATAAGGGCAGGGGACAAAAAGGGCCAGGCGTGCCCCATGTATAAGCCTAACCCCAAAGGTCCCATGCCCACAGCCGAGGCTGCTGCCACTGCCCTTCCCCACCACGCAGCCCCTGGCCGGGCAGGAAGGGCATGACACACACACATGCATGATGCGTGCGCACACACACATGTGTTGGGGGGAGCAGAGGCCCTGAGGCTGGCTCAAGACGCTCTTCCAGCAACCCAGGAACACAACTCCCACCCTCCCCAGCCCCACGCGTGTTGCAGATGGGCCCTGCTGAGCACGACGGCCTCTTACAAATCTGCGGTCTGAGGACCGCTTGACGTTGAGGGGATTGACGGCCAGGTCAGGCAGCACCGCAGCCACCAGCTCGCCGGTGATGTCTCCTGCAGCCACTGTGTTCAGCCAGTCCGAGCCAGATATGCTCTACAGGAACAGACAGCTCTAGGGTGCGGGGTCCCAATGGGCTCCCCACCACCCCCAGCTGGGCTGCAGCACCACAGACCCCAACCCCTGGGCACCACCCTCTGCCCCCCACCCTGGGAGGGCCGGGCTCGGAAGCGCAGCCAGCTTGGACACAGGCAGGGACACCACTTCACACGGCTGCCACGGTCCCTCACCCAAGGGGCAGAGGGTGACCCCAAGAGCCAGGGCCTCACACAGCCAGGTGGCATCACCCCCACCCACAGCTGTGGGACCCAGCTGGTGCTGGGTTTGGGGCAGGTGCCCACCCCTCTGACATGGCCCCCAGGACAGAACTGCCCTGCACCAGCCTCTTACCCATACAGTCCCCTTGCGAGGGGCCACAAAATAAGCCTTGAAGCCCAAGTACCCGGCATCAATGTAGTGGATCCCACAGAGACCGTAACTGCAACAGAAAGGGAACAGATGAGGACAGAACTCTGCACTGCTGCTCTGAGACTGCGAGAGCCAAGCATCAGCCCACCTCCCCAGAGACCCCAGGACCCAGGCGGATGGAGGGGGGCTGTCCTTGCCCTAGCAGCATGTCACAGCATCACGAGGCAGCTCAGAGCAGCTCCCGAAGGCTGAGAACACACCAAGACCCCAGAACTCTTCTGCCAACTTGTGTCAGCCTGGGGCCACGCAGGAGCCCCACTGGCCAGCCCAGCTCAGATGCCTCATCCTTCCCCTTGCCCACCTTGCTTGTGCCCCAGGGTGATGCGGCTGAGGGGATGGCAACACTGCACAGCTGTGGTGTGACCCAGCATGAGCAAAGTCTGCTCTCACCACGGCACAGCCGCATGCTCCCAGGGAAGGAGAGACCAGAGGGACCCCGTGGAGTAAGACCAGACCCCAGCAGTGGGGCTGGCCCTGGGCACAGAGAGGGCACCACGGTGGTCCCAGCACTCACGAGGCATAGCAGTTGTCCTGGGCCACAGTGACCCCGTTGTAAGGCAGCAGCCAGGCCACCTCTGTGCTGAGGAACCGCTTGATGCTGTTGATGGGCTCGTACAGCCGCCGCAGGTCCCAGAACTTGATCTTACGGTCGCTCCCTGCCGTGACCAGGAAGTTGCTGAGAACCAGGAGAAAGGCAGCACTGAGACCCCAGCGCAGAGCCGTGCCCCGTCCCTGCTGCAGGGACAACGTGTACCACAGCACAGCACTGCTCCCACAGGCAGTGGCTCAACCCCCTCTCACCCTGAAAAGCCCAACCCAACCTCTTCGATGCCTCAGAGGGCCAAGTGCTAGCAGCAAGTCCTCTTAAGCCCATCTCAGCAAAGGACCCTCATCTGCAGGAGTGAGCCCGCTCACCCAGTCAGTGCCTGCACCAGCACCAGTTCCCCAGCCCTCACCTGTCGGCCTTGCACCACTCGATGCTCCGGACCGCGTGGTCGTGGGCTAGAAAGCACCGGAAAGGGTAGAGCTTGAGGGAGCCATCAGGCTGGCGCACACACTGCAGCAGGGACTTGGTGAGCAGGTTCCAGACAGCCACAGTACCTGCAGGAGGAGACCCATGCCCATGAGGAGCTGCCTCAGCA